TATATATATATATATATATATGTATACACACACACAATGGAATGTTACTCGGCCATAAAAAAGAATGAAATTTTGCCATTTGCAACAACGTAGATGGACCTAGAGAGTATCATGCCTAGTGAAATAAGTCAGACAGAGAAAGGCAAATACTCTGTTATCATTTATATGTGGAATCTAAAAAATAAAACTAATGTATACAACAAAACAGAAACCAATTCATAGATGTTGAGAACAAACTAGTGGTTACCAACAGGGAGAGGGAAATGGGGAGGGGCAAGATAGGGGTTGGGATTAAGAGATACAAACTACTAGGTATAAAAAAGATAAGCGACAAGGATGTATTGTATAGCACAGGGAAATACAGCCATTATTTTGTAATAACTTTAAATGGAGTACAATCTATAAAATATTGAATGACTATGTTGCACACCTGAAACTAATATAATATTGTAAATAAACTATATTTCAATTAAGCCCCTACTGGGTGAAAGGCCAAGTACTAGAGAAACCACAGAGATACCATGAGGAAAAAGGGAGGATGTGGTCCTGTATACTCGAGGAGATGATATTCCAGCAGGGGAGAGACACAACAAAAAGTAAACAAATACGTAAAATGATTCCCTACTGTGGTAAGCATTAACAAGAAAACAAACAAGGGGCTAAGAAAGAGGTTAGTGGGAGGTCAAGAACACAGGTCAAAGGAGGGGAATGAAGGAACTTGGTGATCTTGGGCAGATAGGGATGATATGAGGAGAGCTGGAAATGGAAAGGGGCAAAGGCCTTTCCCTAGGATTAGGGCAGTGAGAACCCATGCAACTGCTGGTCTCAGCCCCTGGCCCTTTCTGGCCTTAACTCATCCCCCAGCTGTCACCCCTGCACCCTGTCATTGACTTAATGATTCACTCTCAAACTTCCCCAGCTTCCTGTGTGGCAGGGAGGGGGTGGGGCAGAGCCCTGGCTCTCTGAGTTCTTCTCTCCAGTTCTTCTCTTGGTCCCATTCTGACTTTGCCACAAAGAAAGGTCTCTCTGTGCCGGGAGGACAGTGGGGATAACTAGGTCCAGCTGGAGGCCCAGATTCCAGATATAGGAGGTAGTGTGAAACAGGATCCTGACATCCCCTTCACTTCCCCTCCCCTGCCTAATGCCCTGGAGAAATTTTCCATCATAAACAAGTTATGCATTCCTAACCTTGGGTGACTCTCCCCTTCTCCCACCAAGCAGTTTTCTTCCATCATCACTCTCTCTCCCATCCCCAGTTTATGTCTGTGTGAGCATGTGAGCCTGTCCACACATGTAAACTGTCATGTATTTATGTTGATCATCGTTTAGTGTGCAGGTTGCCTTGGAATGAGGGTGTAGGTGGGTGGGTAGGCTCACTGTGCTTGGGTGTAAATGTAACGATGATGGCAGATGTGAAGGGGAGGTGTGGGAAAGGGATGTGTCTTTGTTTGCAGAGGAGGCGTGTTTTATGCCTCATCAGGAAGAAGTGTGTAATGCTGAAAGTTTCAAGTGTGCTTAAACAGGAGTGGTGGGTGTAAAATAAAGCAACACATAAGCCCAGGAAGCAATAGTATAGACAGCAATAATGTCTCTTTTTATAGCCCAATTGTGGGCCATCCCCTTATTTGCAACCCCACACATCCTTGGCTGAGAAATGCCCTTAGGTGTTCTTTGTTTGGTGTCTGTGTAAGACTTGTCCCAACTTTTCTTAAGAGGTTATAAATTCATATGTGGGATTTGAAGGAGTGTATGCCTGTCTCAAAATCTTGGGGTGATCCAGCCAGTTTATGTATACTATATGTGCATTTTTTAGTTCTGCATTTTCATCTTTCATTTATCAAGATTATTGAACAACTAGTACATGCAAGGCACCCTGCTGGGCTCTATGGAAGACACAAAGACATGTGTGACACAGCCTTTAATGGAAGAGGTCACACATGCTCTCATCCTGGGCACCAGGCATAATATGATCTGGCACAAAGCTCTGTGGCAGATGCATTTGAAATGCATGGAGACAGCTTTGGTCCCTTCATGCTCCCTGACTCTAATGCTACCCGCCTTATCACTAAATTCTGGTAATCTTATGCTAGGAATGTCTCTTAAAGCCACCCCTTCTCGTGTTCCCTGTGTCATAGCCCATTTCAGGCCCTTTCCTCCTACCCAAACCTCTCCAGTAGTATCCTGTCTCTGCCTCAGTGTTTCCCCATCCAGAGCATACTCCTTGTCCCACTCAGTTCCCAGCTTTGAACCTGCCCTCTTGATGTCATTCCATGACCCGCAAGCTCCACAGTCTAGAGTCAAACCCAGCCCCCTGGCCTGTCAGCTAAGCTCTCCTCACTGCCTAATTCCTTTCCAGCCATCGTCACTTACCACTGTTGTGGAACCCAGATTTGCGTGCCTGCTGCACAGTGAGGCCAAACAAACCAAAACATTGGGTTTGGGGCAGAGAAAGGTTTATTGCAAGCGCCAAGCAAAAAGAACAGGTGGCTCTTGCTCAAAAACCCCAAACTCCCTGATGGTTTTCAGGGAAGAGTTTTTAAAGGCAAAATTCGGATCCTCAAGGACTATGTCATTCTTTTAAAGGTTGTGCCCTGCCCCCTTCCCTCCTGTTTATGATGAGGATGAGAAGTTGCCAAAAACTGCAAGTGCCAGGGCAGAGCAATTTAAGCAGAGAACCTAAGGTGAGAAAGAGCTTGGCAAGTCCTGGGAACTGAAAGGAGGAGGCCCTGGGTGGCTGGAGCACAGCACAAGAGAAGAGGGGTAAAAATGAGTTTGGAGAGGAAGAAATGAGATTTTGAAGATACTGTTATGGAACAAGTTCATGTGCCCAGTGCACAGTGAGGCCAAATAAACTGAAACGTCAGAGTTTGGGGCAGAGAAAGGTGTATTGCAGGGCCAAGCAAGGAGAATGGGTGGCTTGTGCTCAAAACCCCCCAAATTCCCTGACAGTTTTTTGGGGAAAAGATTTTATAGGTAAAATTTGGGGTGTGTGACTTTCTTCTGATTGGTTGGTGGTGAGGTAACAGGGTGGTGCTCCAGGAATCTTGTACTCAGCCTGAAGTTACCATCCTCCAACTGAGTGAGGGACTTAGTTCCTGTAGAAGAACTCAAAGATATATTGTTATGTATATCCCTTGAGGAGGAACCAGGCCCCTGCTTTATCTGCACCATTCTTTTTTTTTTTAAGTTTTTGGCTGTGCTGGATGCACAGCATTCTTCCCGGACTAGGGATCAAACCCACGCCCCCTGCAGTAGAAGCTCTGTCTTAACCACTGGACCACCAAGGAAGTCCTGCACTATTGTTTCTTGACTACTCCTGTTTCTGCATTCCCTTCCTTCCCCAATCAGCAACTGTTTGAATCTGTCCTTTGGAACCCAGGGAAGGTCTAGGAGGGACACGGAAAGGCTTTGGCACCCAGGAGGGCCCCACAGGGTCCTGCTGGGTTTCACCACTACTCCATTACAGGAAACTTGTCCTGAGATTGTTTTTCTTGTGATTCCCCAAACACATCCTGTACTTTTCCAGCTCAAGGCCTTTGCTGATTCCATTCTCTTTCTCAGTCATCTTCCACATCTGACTCTGTGGTATCCCACCCACCATTTAAGGTCATCTCAAATGCCATTCTTCCCTGATGCCTCATGTGATTGATTAGACAGACAGGAACAGCAGCTCTATTGGGTTCGCCTTATACTTAGTCTTCCATTTTCTTAGAACCTGATGTGTTTGCTTTAGATAAAGCACTTGGCTCTCTCAGCAGCATACATGCTGAAACCTACCTCAGTACTCAGCAGTACCTTTTAACAGGGTGTCTGGCCCTGTTGAGTGCTCAAAAGATGTTACATTCTGTGTCCATTGTAAGGTCGGATCTTAACAAACGGCACCGCGAAACAGAGGAAAGCTTCAAGTGAGCTTTATTAGGGAGCGCTCCCGGGCGAGGTTCTCTAGTTCGAGAGAAAGGGGCCAGAGAAGTCGCGCCCGGGCGAGGGTTGGGCAAGATTTTATAGGGGAAGAAGGGAAAGGGGTGTGGTGAATCTGGGAGGGCGCAGGGTATTCCTTATTTGGTGGTCTTTTCGGGTATCCTGGGGGACCGTTAGTCCCGCCCCTCGAAAGACGGGAAGGCTGGGCTGGGTTCAAAGTCCCCAGGTCAGTTCCTGGAACTGGGTGGTCGGGAGAATTTCGGTCTGATGCAACCTGTGGATCTGATTGTGTTCCCCTGCCTCGGGCCAGTTGGCCTTACATCCATGAGCAGCTTTCTCTAAGGCAGTTATGAAAATGTGTCAATTATCTCTTGTGTTATTATCATTACCACAACATTTGCATAATGTCTCACAGTTTAAATGTTCTTCACATAAACTTAAATCCAGATGGCTGCTAACTTCTCACCTTTGTATTTTGTGGTCCTCTGCTCCAGCCATGTATGAACATTTCTGCACATTGCTGGGCTGCCCCTGTGCAGTCTCTGCACCTTTGTTCTGTGTGGGTGTGATGTGCATATTGAAGGCGAGCAGAATATGCCACCCCGAAATGTGCCACTTTGGTATGTGAATTATTTGGAGCTGAAGGAAATCAAAACCCCGCAGACAATTGCCTAAATAATTTAGGTAGGGGGCCTGGCCCAGAGATAGCTTTCACCTGAAAGACTTACCTGCTTAGCAGGGCAAACACCTAATTAGCTAACATCTGCTCTTCTCACCTTCCTGTGAATTACCCACCTCCCCTTCAAGCCCCAGGCCTCTTTCCCACTCCTTAGCTGAAGATGGCATATAAGCCTCAATTGCCCTACTGACTGCCTTTGAGTCTCCAGTCTTCATGGGCTCCTGTAAGTACGCAATTAAATTTGTTTTCTCCTGTTAATCTGTCCTATGTCTAATTATTAGACCAGCCAAAGAAACTAGAAGGAAAGGAGAAATTTTTCCGCCTCTACAATGTGGTGTGTGTGTGTGTGCTTGTGTGTGTGTGTGTGCTTGTGTGTGTGTGTTGTGTGTGTGTGTGTGTGTGCTAAAGCAGGCAGGGTTGTGTCTGTCTGTGTGTGCTAGGGTGTTCATTTCTCTTAGGCATCTTGGCTGTTTCTGTAGTGACTTCCCTCCTAGGCTGTGTGTTTTCCGTGTTCCTACAAGCTTGTGAATGTGCACCTGTAACTGTGGCTCCTTGACTTTGCTGGGTCAGTATTGTAGTAGGATGGGCAGACTTCCTTATGTAAGCCTTCCTGCCTCTCCAGAGATGGGGCTTGTGGCTGAACCTTCTCAAACTGTCTGTGAGCCCCTCTCCAGCAGCCACATGTCCCGACATGTGCCCGCAGTCCGGAATTTTACCCGCCTCCACTCACAAATCACACACTCACGACACACACTTAGGTGCCTACGGTTGCACTGGCCAAGTCTCCACCCCCTCCCTTTGCTTAAACTTCGGAATTTCCAGCCGACCGGCCAACCGCTCCCAGCAGCGGGTGGAGTTGAGAAGGGCCCGCCCAGTTCTCGGAGTACAAAACTAGCTCTGCAGGACTGCGCGGCCACTTGTCCTTCAGCTCTGCGCACAATGTGTCACTCTCGAAGCTCCCTCCCCACCATGACCGTCCTGCGGGCTCCGACCCCGGTCCCCTCCACCAGCCCGGGACCCCAACGGGGCTCCGGCCCCGAGATCTTCACCTTCGATCCTCTCCCGGAGACCGCGGTGGCCCCCGCTGCGCGCCCCAGCGCCTCCCGCGGGCACCGAAAGCGCAGCCGTAGGGTCCTCTACCCACGAGTGGTGAGTGTCGCCGAAGTGGACAGCCCGGGGGAAGAGCAGGGCGGACCGCCGTACGCCGGGGCCCCGACCTGACCTGTTGCCTTTGTTATCTCCCCACAGGTCCGGCGTCAGCTGCCAATCGAGGATCCGAACCCAGCCAAAAGGCTGCTCTTTTTCCTGCTCACCATCATCTTCTGCCAGATCCTGATGGCTGAAGAGGGTGTGTCGACACCCCTGGTCCCGGAGGACACCCCCAGCGCGCAGTCCCCCGCGCCCACCGTTGTGCCCCCGGTCCTCGAGCCCCTTAATCTGACCTCGGAGCCCTCGGACTACGCTTTGGACCTCAGCACTTTTCTCCAGCAACACCCTGCCGCCTTCTAACCGGACTCTCCACACCCCCAGAAGAATCTGAAAAACCAAGAAACACTGGGTGTACCTGGTGGGAGAAAGAGCGTATCCCAAACTGGGACTCCCAAGGCAACTCGCACTCAGAACACTACAGCGGAGATGCCAGCCCGAGCCTGGGAGAGACAGGCACCGACAAGCCGGGGCTAGGCCGGGTGGCAGGAGACTTACCCGGCTAGGCCGGGTGGCAGGAGAGCGTCGTTATTTCTCATTGCTCCTAATAATATTTATATGTATTTATGTATGTCCCCCTAGGTGATGGAGGGGTGTATGTAATATTTATTTTAACTTATGCAGGAGTGCGAGATGTGCTCCTTGCTGCAAATGCAGATCTCTGGGTATTTATTGGGCTCTGGGGGATTGGTGGAGGCCGGCGCCCAGAACTGAGCGAGGCTGGGAAGAGGGATGGAGGAAACCCGGGTCCGAGAAGGCGCCGGGCTGGGAGTCAAGGACGGTGGTGGGTCGTAGTAGGTTTAGCGAGTGACATACTCAGCCCTCCAGCATCTCAACTCGCGGGTCTACTGTGTGAGGCTTCGGCGGACCGTTGAGAATAAGGTCCTTGGCCTTCGATCTCCTCGAAGTTGCCCCCAAGGGGTGGCTGCGGGGTCGATGGGCTGTCAGGGGGCGGCTGTGGGGTCGCCCGGTATGTTCTGTGAACACAAATAAACTTGATTTACCGTCAGCAGTCATGTCAGTGTCTCTTTGCAAGCCATGGTCCCCCATTCCCCATGGCCTTCAAGCGCCTGGGCCGGAGGAGCCGCGGCCAAGTCACCAGCGGGCGCTCCTCCCCGGGCCCCTGAGCCCCTTTTTCCCGAGTCACGGAACCCAGCAACCGGTAATCGGATGCTGTCGTACATTGCCCAGTCTGCGGTTTTCCCAGTTAGTTCTCGCGGGGCAAATACGAGGTGAGTCAATCTCCCTTGCCCCGGGGTGCCAGACCCACTGAGGTCACGTCCCGTGGGGCGGGGCGTGGAGCGGCCTGGGCAGGGCTCCGGACCCCGGAGGGGCAGCGAATTGGGGGTCACCCCATCCGACCCCGGGCTGGCTCGGCAGCCCGGGTGAGCCGGGGCCCGGGCGTGCTGCGGACCGGAGCGCGGCCTGCTGGGAAAGGGGCGGGCCGAGGGGGCGGGGGGAGGTTGGTCCGCCGCGGGGGCGGGGTCGCGTCTGCCGCAGCGGCAGGGTGCGGCCTGGTTGGGGGCAAGGGCGCCAGCGCGGGCCCAGCTCCCAGGCAGGCTGTGCGCGAGCGGCCCCTGCTCGGCGGCTCACAGGTCCCCTGCGCGTCCCCGACCTGCCTCGGACCACGGCCAGGCCGCTGCCAGCGTCCGGGAAGGTAGGTGGGGGGTGGGGTGGGGAGATGGAGTCGGGCTGTGGAGGAGCAGGGACGGTGGCGCAAGGGTCTGGGGGTCTCCAAGGGCCGGGAGAGCTTTATCAGATAAGGGAGAAACCGTCGTCACTGAAGGTGGGGTGCGGCAAGGGGCTGGGAGTCGCTGGGTGACTGCGAAATTTCACAGGGTAAAGCCTTAGCGGATCCGTGGGCGCGGAAGGGACGGGGCCGCATTGTCTGCAGGCGGGGCGGGACTGACAGGAAAGCGAAAGGGTTCACTCCTGTGGACTCCACAGTGCCCCTTGCTATCAGCAAAGGCTTTCTCTCCCCCTCCTCCAGCTCCAGCCTGAGCCATGTTTTTCACCTGTGGCCCAAACGAGGCCATGGTGGTCTCCGGTAAGTATTGTTCTCTGCTCAGCCAGTGACCCCCAAGTCCCCGCAGAAGTCCCTTCCCCCTCTCCCCACCAGCTCCCCAGCGCCAGACCTTCTGCCCACCCCACCCCCATGGTTGCAAGCCACCCACTTGTGGTGATTCCCTGCCTCTATCCTTCCAAGGCCTACACTGCCCGCTGCTCCTGCCAGCGCCCAGATTTCTTCGTGGGGATTGCTTCCCCCTCCCTTCCCCGGTCGTCTTCCACATTCCAGCTCCACCGTGGCCACCGGCCACCGCAGCTCATTGCCTCCTGACCTTGCAGGTTTCTGCCGGAGCCCCCCAGTCATGGTGGCTGGAGGACGTGTCTTTGTCCTGCCCTGCATCCAGCAAATCCAGAGGTAGGTTGAACAAGAGAACTAGGGAAAGGGAACCCCCGTTTTCTCTCTTTTCTCCTTTTCACACTGTCCACCCCTTCTTTTTCCCCTAGGATCTCTCTCAACACACTGACCCTCAATGTCAAGAGTGAAAAGGTTTACACTCGCCATGGGGTCCCCATCTCAGTCACTGGCATTGCCCAGGTGAGGCTTTCAGAGCCTTTCCTCCAAAGTCCACTCCCCCATCACCTTCTCTGTCCCCAGACATTAAGAATCTTCTGACCATGGCCTTCCCTACCTCTTGCTATGGAGAAATTTCTCTGCTAGTCTCAGCTTCTCCAGGGATCCCCAAGGCACCTGACTCTCCCAGCTTCCTCCCTGTCTTCATGAGACCTTCACCACACCCTCCCTAACCTTATTCTGGCTACAGGTGAAGATTCAGGGCCAGAATAAGGAAATGTTGGCAGCTGCCTGCCAGATGTTCCTGGGCAAGACAGAGGCTGAGATTGCCCACATCGCACTGGAGACGCTGGAGGGCCACCAGAGGGCTATTATGGCCCACATGACTGTGGAGGTGGGCCTGAGGGCAGGGAAAGATCTGGAAGGGGTGCCAGAGTGAGAGGGGCCTAAGGACCGAGCTAGTCTGTAGGAGACAGTGGTCAGAGGATCTGAGAGCTTACGTTCCTTCTTCCCTCCATCGTGTTATCCTAGGAAATCTATAAGGACAGGCAGAAATTCTCAGAGCAAGTTTTCAAAGTGGCCTCCTCAGACCTGGTCAACATGGGCATCAGCGTGGTCAGCTACACCCTGAAGGACATTCACGACGATCAGGTAAACCTAGGCAGTTGCTTCTCCCCGCTTTCCTGCTCCCATCTGTTAAACCTTCCCGAGGACTGTGATATCTGCAACTCTCCCACAGGACTATTTGCACTCCTTGGGGAAGGCTCGAACAGCTCAAGTCCAAAAAGATGCTCGGATTGGGGAAGCGGAGGCCAAGAGAGACGCTGGGATCCGGGTGAGAGATCTGGGGGTTGCTTGGTCTCCATGGGCTTATTGTGCACCTGGTGGAAGAGGGGATGGCGTGGGGGCTGGTGGAGCAGGGTTGGCAGAGGATATAAATGAGGCCGGGCCTGGGGTGAGGACAGAGGAGCTTGGTGGAGATCAGGCTCTCTCCCTGGGGCCTTCCTCTCCCTACTCTGACTCCCTGCCTGATCTCTGCATGCACAGGAGGCCAAAGCCAAGCAAGAAAAGGTGTCTGCTCAGTACCTGAGTGAGATCGAGATGGCCAAGGCACAGAGGGACTACGAGCTCAAGAAGGCTGCATATGACATTGAGGTCAACACCCGCCGAGCACAGGCTGACCTGGCCTATCAGCTTCAGGTCAGAGCCCCTATGCTGGCCCGGTGGCCAGGCTGGACTTCACTCCCTCCCCGTTCTTCTCAGGCCACCACTCTCTCTCATATTCTGACTCTGATCCCCTTATTCTGGCCCTCCATTTCTGACCCAGCTCCTCCTTATGAGGAAGATTTAAAAGACCTAAACGTTTCAGCTGAAAAGCAAAGAAAAGGCCTAGAAAGGATACGCTCTATAGGGCTGATCACGGGCTTGAGGCAGGTTGTGCCCTGTGCCAGGGCACCTGGATGAGGGGGTGAACCAGAGCTAAGATCCAACCATGCTCCACATCGGGCCTGGGTGAATGGGTCTGCATCCACCCAGAGGAAGGGGTGCCTTTTTCTAATTTGCACAGGGGTACTCCATGGGCCCACAGCAGCCCTGGTGATCACAGAAGTGTGTGAGGAAGGAAAACGTGGGCTTTGAATCCCACAAAATGAGACATAGGGGCCCTTGAAAATGCAGGGAGGGGTAGTCAATCCCCATCATTTGTGGATCCCATAACTGAGAATTTGCCTCATCACTAAAATTTATTGGTTACCTCAGAACCAGTATTTTTTGTACTGATGACTATTTGCAAACATGTGCAGAGTGGAGAAAAATTTGAGTTGCCTGATATGTGCTTCCCAGTCGAGGTTGAACAAGAAGATGTTCTGCCTTCTTGTTTCGGCTCATACTGTAAACAGTGTCATTTTCATAGTATATTCACTGCCACACTTTTTGCACTTTTGTGCTTTTTTTTGGTGATTTCACAGTTTAAAATGTCCCCAAATGTAGTGCTGAAGTGCCGTCTAGTGTTCCTAAGTGCAAGAAGGCTGTGATGTGCCTGATGGAGAAGACGTGTGTGTTAGATAAGCTTCTTTTAGGCATGAGTTACAGTGCTGCTGGCCATGAGTTCATTGTTAATGAATCAACAGATATGTTACATATGGTGTCTTTAAGCAGAAACACATAAAACAAGGATATATAGGACTTCCCTGGCGGTCCAGTGGTTAAGACTCCGTGCTTCCACTGCAGGTGGTGTGGGTTCGATCCCTGATCGGGGAACTAAGATCCCGCATGCTGCACATCTTGGCCAAAAAAAAAAAAAAAAAAAAGATATATATTGATCTGTTGATCTGTTGTGACCAGAGGCTCACAGGAACCTATACCTGTATTTCCCTTAGGAACAAAATAAGTGTTTTGTTAATTCAGTGTTCATGGCTACTTTATAAAACAGAACTACCATAACTAACGAGAATCAACAGTACTCTGAGACCTTTACCCAAAGGGCAGCAATATTATGAGATTCGTTTTTGCCAAGAGTTGGTACAGGGTGAAATTATGAAATGCAGCACATCTTTAGTTATGACGTTAAATCCCTGGATGGCTTGACAGGTACCTGAGTGTGGCATAGTACTTTGCTACTCAAAGTGTGGTCTGCCTCCCAGCAACATCGGTATCCCTGGGGAGCTTGTTAGAAATACAAAATCTGAGGCTCCAGCCCAACTGACCAAGTCAGAATCTGTATTTTAACAAAATCCCTAGGTGATTCATGTATTGATAGACATTGGAGTTTGAGAAGCATTAACATAGTGGAAAACACCAGCTTGGGTGGGACTTAACCCACCCAAGGATAGGTCCTTAATCTTCTTCTCAACATGGCTTGTCTGCACATCAAAGGGTTGGGCTGGTTTGGGTTCTGTTCAGCTTTTATTAGTTCCTCATTTTGTGCCAGCCAGCCTTTGTGCTAGGTGCTGGGGAAATAAGGATTTACTCAACAGGTACCAGTTAAATGCCTGTTATGTGCCAGGCATTGTTTTGGAGGTGAGTATATAAGTATGAATGAGACAGAATAAGATTCCTGCCCTCATGGAGCTTTACATTATAATACACGAAACCACTAATAAGCAAATAACCTTCACTGGCTCAAATTACATGAAGTGCTATGAAGGAAATACATAGGTGGTACTTTACTGGGGGGATACTCTATTAGGTCGGGGGTGATCAGAGGAAGCTTCGGTGAGGAAGTGATACATGAGATAAATCCTGAAGATGAGAAAGAGTCAACGATGTAAAGAGTTGTGGGCCAAGAACATTCTAGTCCAGTGCTGTTCAAATAGAACTTTCTGAAATGATGGAAATGCTCTATATCTGTGCTGTGATGTTGAGCACTTGTAATGTGGCTTTTGTGACTGAGGAACTGAATTTTTAAATTTTTTATTTTGATTTAAATAGCT